GGGGGGGGGCGCGCATGCGCGGAGCGACTGGTGGGGACAGCCAGGCCTTAGGAGTTGTGAGGACCTGAGAGTGGCTGGAGTTAACTCTAGGGGTGTATATATCTAGGGTATCTATACATATGTCAGTGTATAGACGTATACGGAGGGGACTTTGGGACTCCTGGGGGACAATAAGTCTTATGAGGAGAGGCTGAGGGAGCTGGGGGTGTTCAGCCTGGAGAAAAGGAGGCTGAGGGGAGCATAGAATCATCTAGGTTGGAATAAACCCTTAAGATCATTGAGTCCAACCGTCAACACTAACAAAATCACCACTAAACCACATCCCTCAGCACCACGGCTGCCCAGCTTTTAAATCCCTCCAGGGATGGCAACTCCACCACTGCGTGACAACCCTTTCAGTGAAGAAATTTTTGCAAATATCCATCCTAAACCTCCCCTGGAGCAACTTGAGCTTATTTCCTCCTGTCCCATTGCCTGTTCCTTAGGAGAAGAGACCGACCCCCCCCGGCTACACCCTCCTTTCAGGGAGCTATAGAGATCAAGAAGGTCTCCTGGTCTCACGACCAGGATGGAGGGAGCTTGGAGCAACCTGGTCTGGTGGGAGGTGTCCCTGCCCAGGGCAGGGGGTTGGAACTCGATGATCTGCACTATTTTCCCCCTGGCGTGGGGCAAAATAGTCTCACAGCCTTGGGAAGGGCATCAGCCCCGGGAGCTGGGCACTGAGGACAGGGATGCCTCTGGTTTTCTGATGTCCCTCAAGCTTTCTACTTGTTCTGTTGAAGAGCTGGGTCAAGTCTGTCCTCCGTAGCATCCATCCATGTTTAGATTGAATATCTGGATGAGGTATTAGGATGAAATCCTTGACTGTGAGGGTGGTGAGAGCCTGGCCCAGGTTGCCCAGAGAAGCTGTGGCTGCCCCATCCCTGGAGGGGTTCAAGGGCAGGTTGGAGGGGGCTTGGAGCAACCTGGGCTGGTGGGAGGTGTCCCCAGCCAGGGCAGGGGGGTTGGAATTAGATGATCTTCAAGTTCCCTTCCCACCCAAACCATCCCACGATTCCGTGACGGCCCTTCGGGAGCTCTGGGGGTGCCCAGGAAGCAGACGAACCCCTGGATTATTCACAGCCGATTTTTATGAGTTTCTCGTCACCGAAGCGGGAAGTTCCCCGGCGCTGACCGGTAGCACGTCAGGGGTTAAGATCCGCCCGGGGCCGTTCCGGGCTGCGTGCGGGGCCGCCCGTCGCCGTTGGCGGCCGCGCCCCGGGGCGGGACGGGACGGGGGCGGGGGAGGCCCCGCTTTTTCCGCCGGCGGCGGCGGCTGGATTATTCACAGCCGATTTTTATGAGTTTCTCGTCACCGAAGCGGGAAGTTCCCCGGCGCTGACCGGTAGCACGTCAGGGGTTAAGATCCGCCCGGGGCCGTTCCGGGCTGCGTGCGGGGCCGCCCGTCGCCGTTGGCGGCCGCGCCCCGGGGCGGGACGGGACGGGGGCGGGGGAGGCCCCGCTTTTTCCGTCGGCGGCGGCGGCGGCGGCGGCGGCACTGGCACTGGCGCGGAGAGATGGCGACGAGGAGCGGGCTACTGTTGGTGCTGGCATTCGCCACGCTCCTGCTGGTGGCCCGCGGGCAGCCCGGTGCGGCGGAGAGACGGTGCTTCTGCCAGGTGGGTTCCGCCGGGGGACGGGACGGGATGGGGTGGGTGTCCCGGTGCCTCTCTGGGCATCGGGGGTGCCTGGGGAGAAGGGCTGAGGGAGCTGCGGTGGTTTAGCCTGGAGAGAAGGAGGTTGATGGGAATCACAGAATGGTTCAGGTTGGAAGGGACCTTAAAGATCATCCAGTCCCACCCCCTGCCCTGGGCAGGGACACCTCCCACCAGCCCAGGTTGCTCCAAGCCCCCTCCAACCTGCCCTTGAACCCCTCCAGGGATGGGGCAGCCACAGCTTCTCTGGGCAACCTGGGCCAGGCTCTCACCACCCTCACAGGCAAGGATTTCATCCTAATACCTCATCCAAATATTCAATCTAAACATGGATGGATGCTACGGAGGACAGGCTTGACCCAGCTCTTCAACAGAACAAGTAGAAAGCTTGAGGGACATCAGAAAACCAGAGGCATCCTTGTCCTCAGTGCCCAGCTCCTGGGGCTGATGCCCTTCCCAAGGCTGTGAGACTATTTTGCCCCACGCCAGGGGGAAAATAGTGCAAATCATCGAGTTCCAACCCCTGCCCTGGGAAGGGACACCTCCCACCAGACCAGGTTGCTCCAAGCTCCCTCCATCCTGGTCGTGAGACCAGGAGACCTTCTTGATCTCTATAGCTCCCTGAAAGGAGGGTGTAGCCGGGGGGGGTCGGTCTCTTCTCCTAAGGAACAGGCAATGGGACAGGAGGAAATAAGCTCAAGTTGCTCCAGGGGAGGTTTAGGATGGATATTTGCAAAAATTTCTTCACTGAAAGGGTTGTCACGCAGTGGTGGAGTTGCCATCCCTGGAGGGATTTAAAAGCTGGGCAGCCGTGGTGCTGAGGGATGTGGTTTAGTGATGGTTTTGTTAGTGTTGACGGTTGGACTCAATGATCTTAAGGGTTTATTCCAACCTAGATGATTCTATGCTCCAAGACCAGGCTGGCTGGGCCTTTGGGCAACCTGGTCTGGTGGGAGGTGTCTCTGCCCAGGGCAGGGGGGTTGTAACTGAATGATCTTTAAGGTCCCTTCCAACCGAAACCATTCTATCCTTCTGCCCACTGAGCAGCCCTATGGCATCTTCCATGTCTTCTTATCTGTGTTTTCTACCTGTCCCTAGCAGAAATGGTGGGTGTTTCAGCTGGGGGAGCAGTTCTCCCCTACCCACCCAGGTGCCTCTCATCAGATGTTTCAGGGATGTGTGTTGCTATAATGTCTGGCAGCTGCCTCATCCCCTTTCCTGCAGGTCTGCCTTGTCCTTCCTCCCAGCTCTGCTGTCCAGGAGACAGTGTGGCTGCAGCAGGTACCTGATACCCTGCCATACACAGGGTGAGCGGGGCTGCCCCACTCATTAAAGCTCCTCCAGTGTTAATTCCCCTTGTTGATGAGCGTGTTACTGTCTGATGCTTGGTGCACCTTCTGTTGACGTACAGCAATGACAGAACAGGGTATATGTCAACTGAGAGATGGGACTGAGCAGCTGATTTGGGGGAATGGTGGCTATTCAGATTCCTTCTGACTTACCTTTAGAACAACAGGGTATATGTCAACTGAGAGATGGGACCAAGCAGCTGGATTTGGGGGAATGGTGGCTATTTAGATTCCTTCTGACTTACCTTTAGAATTGTGGAATGGTTTGGGTTGGAAGGGACCTTAAAGATCATCCAGTCCCACCCCCCTGCCCTGGGCAGGGACACCTCCCACCAGACCAGATTGCCCAAAGCCCCATCCAACCTGGCCTTGGAACTCATTGCAGAAGGACATTTGCAAAATCGAGGAGTGAAGACGATGAAGTGTATTTGGTGCTTTATTTCTGTTGCCTTTTAAAGAAGAGAAGCTATTGTAGAGCCTTCTCCTGCTGTATTAAAATTCTAGTACTTAAATGCAAGTCGGATACTGAGAGTGGAAAAAGAAAACAAATGCAGTGTGCCCTTGGGTTTGGGTTTTCCTTCTGGGTGGCTCCTGACACTTCAGTTTTGGGTGGAAATGGTAAATATAAGCTATGCTGATAAAGAACCGAAAAGCACGTGTTTTGATTCTATATCTCTATATGGTTCATGCTTGTATGTTTCCTGCCTAGCAGTGAAGTTTGTTTCCTAAGAATCAAGGTCTGAGTCAGGAGGGTGGTATGGGGTAAGAGGCTCCAACCAGTGAAAGAACTGGCACAGGAGTGTCTCGCAGGTCTTTTTTCCTTGGGTTGGAGGAACTGGTGCTGTACTTCATACGCTGCTGGTTTGCGACAATGCATTTCTTGTTTATGGAGCAGCTTGAGCTTCAGTTCAGTTTTCAGCGCAAGGGCTTAGGGGTTTTCCAGATTTTATTGCCTTTGGGAAAGCGTGTTATGTAGGGCAGCGTTTCCCAGCCTCACAAACCACCTCACCTCTTAAAAACACCCCCGAGGGCTGCCTCAGCTTTTTGTAAAAAAATTAATCTGCTCATCATCTTGTGCGGAACTGGTCTGGTGCTCTTCATTTACCACCAAATAAAATACAGGGCAAGCCTTTAATGGTGTCTTTTACCCTTCTTTGTTAATATACCTGAAGGCCTGGGTAGAGCTTCTTGTTTCCTCCTGTGAGCCATCTCCTGGGCTTGTCAGATGAAGAAACCTTGTCGTGGGGTGAGTGGAGGAGCTTTGACTTGCCTGTCAGCCCGTGTCAGGGCAGTTGACAAGGGCTGCTTTCGAGGGCGGCTGCCGTAGCAACATTTCAAATGCTGACTTAAGCGGGGCTGTAATTCTGGGATGGGTGTTGTGCTCCCGTCTGTCTGTTCTGCTTTTTATGACTGTTATTTTAGCTCTTTGTTTATTTACAGAAATTACGAACCAGTCTTGAAACTCTTAGTGGAAATGTCCCTCTGTCACTAAAAGCGCTTGAGTTTCACGTGCTGTTTGGTTTCCCATCTATCTCGTTAGCGCTGAGTACTGGAGCACTGGGACCAGTTCTGGGCTTCCCAGTTCCAGAAGGACAGGGAACTGCTGGAGAGGGCACAGCAGAGGCTACAAAGATAATGAGGGGCCTGGAACATCTCTCTTACGAGGAAAGGTGATGGACTTGGGTGTTTTTAGTCTGGAGAAGAGAAGACCAAAGGGGGATCTGATCAACACCTATAAATACTCAAAGGGTGGGTGTCAGGAGGATGGGGCTGGTCTTTTTTCAGTGGTGCCCAGGGACAGGACAAGAGGAAATGGGCACAAACTTGACCATAAGAAGTTCCACCTAAACATGAGGAGGAACTTCTTTGCTGTGAGGGTGGCAGAGCCCTGGAAGAGGCTGCCCAGGGAGGTGGTGGAGTCTCCATCTCTGGAGACATTCAAACCCACCTGGACACGTTCCTGTGCAACCTGCTCTGGGTGGACCTGCTTTGGCAGGGGGTTGGACTAGATGATCTCCAGAGGTCCCTTCCAACCCCATGTGATTCTGGGATTCTTTGAATGACATTTCACTATCGGAGTTCCCTGGAACTTTACGGGCAGCTCGTCCCCCACCCAGATATTCCTGTTTGCAGCAATGCTTTAGTCAGCCCTGAATCAATTCTCCGTATTCCTGGTAATTATTGCTCATTCTCTGTTTACACAGTGATGCAGCTGCACGGAGCTGAGGTGCTGCAGGTGTTTGGCAGGCTGGGATCTTGACTGGGTTTCTGGCCTGGCACAGGGCTGGTTGCCTTCAGGGGCATTTCTGTGGTCAAGACGTTGTCATTAGGGGTGAGCCTGGGCACTGGGAATGAACTCTTAGTTACCCAGACAGACTTTCAAGCCGCTCTTGTGTTCTGTTGAGCTGGTGTTCACCTAACAGCCTTCAGGGCAGGAATTTGTATGTAGCACAGTTCCCCATCTCCATGGGGTGACTCAAGAAGTAGCCTCCAACTGTAGAACATCTGGAGAGCCTTCTTTGCCGGCAGATGCTTGGAGGTGCTATCTGACAGCACTTTAGCCTCTGCAGTTTAGCCCCATCCTGAGACTCCTGCATGAGGTTTGCTTTTATGTGAGCTCCAGAAGCTCCAGTCCTTGTTTTCTGGGTAAATGATGGGGAGGGAGAGCACCTAGGCCAGCATATGCTGCTTCCAGGGCAGATGATCCAAGGGTTGGAGTATTGCTGTGATGAGAGGCTGAGAGAGTTAGGAGGGTTCAGCCTGGAGAAGGCTCTGGGGAGACCTTAGAGCCCCTTCCAGTCCCTCAAGGGGCTCCAGGAGAGATGGGGAGGGACTCTGGATCAGGGAGGGGAGCCATAGGACGAGGGGGAAGGGTTTGACACTGAAAGAGGGAAAATTGAGATGAGATCTGGGGAAGAACTTCTTTGGTGTGAGGGTGGTGAGAGCCTGGCCCAGGTTGTCCAGAGAAGCTGTGGCTGCCCCATCCCTGGAGGGGTTCAAGGCCAGGTTGGAGGGGCCTTTGAGCAACCTGGTGTGGTGGGAAGTGTCCCTGCCCAGGGCAGGGGGGTTGGAACTGGATGATCTTTAAGGTCCCTTCCAACCTAAACCATTCCATGATTCTATGCTGGCCATGACTGGCCTTACCTGGCTGGAAGCCACTTGCTCCGAGTCTGGCACGGGTGAAAGGGGGACCTGGCTGGACCGAGCGCCACAGGCACGGTCACAAATCAGTTGTGTGGGGTGACTGTAAGGAACCTTCTGCCGGGGCAGCAGAGAAAGCATCAAGCTTTCCATCAGCCTGGCACTGGTGTGGCTTGTCTACCAGAGCAGGCAGCTGCTGGTGAAGTTGGTACAGGCTAAAAGCCACCTCCTCAGCCTCTGTAATGTTCCCTTCCCTGTGCCCTGTTGCAACTGCAAGTGGGAGGTGAAGTGTTTTCCTTCTTTCCTGCCAGCTGCACGGTAGATGGTGTAGGGTTTTGGGATGGAGCCCAATCCACTGCCATGGGGACACTTCTGTGACCCTGGTGGAAGGAGCAAAAGGTGGTGTGAGACAAACTGACAGGAGCCTGGGGTGGAGGCAGAGGAAGATGAAGCGAAGGCCAAACCCAAGGATTATGCTGAGTCCACGTGTGGTGGTGTTCCCACCTGTGTTACGCACACGAGGTGGGTACACTGTTTTTGAGGGATCAAGAGTGACCACGGTGGGGCTGAATGCCTTCCTGAGTGCTTACTCAGCAGCCACTTGTGTCACATCTGTCCCAGCAGCTCCGATGAAGCTCTTCCGACCGGGCAAACCCAAGCCCTGCCCGTCGGTCTCCTGCCAGGCTCCCACACCTCTGCCAGGTGGGGTGATGTCTCTCAGAGCCCTGCTTCGCCGATGCCAGCAGGCACAGGGCACACGTTTGGGAGAGGATCAGCTGATGCTTCATCTTAAACAACCGCTCTTAATTATTACTGGCTGGAGATGTCGATAAAACACTTTCTCCCCACCTCCCGAAAATATTTGAAGGCACCGCCCATTGTAGGACATGGTTTGCACATGCTGTAGCTCAGCTGCTGTGACAGCAGGAATTAAAACCCAAAAACAAGTAGGTCTCTGGCTGCTTATGGGTCTGAAAGAAACAGGTCATGGGGTGGCTGGTGGTCATGGAGCAAGAGGGAACTTCTGGGCTGAAGAACGTGCCCTGCCAAGTGGTCTGGTACTTCCCCTCCCGTGTCTCAAAGCGGGTCATCACTTTGGTTGTAGCATCACTGGGGCTTTCATCTTGATTTCTGAGGAGACTTGGCTCTTGATGCTGTCTTTCATAATCCTTTGGCTGTGGATTTTGGTGGATTGGGCACATCCAGGTGGTGCCACCAAGCCTGGCTGAGCTTTCTCAGCAGCCTGGTGGCTTAGGAGGCAGAGCGGGATGGTCAGCTGGCCAGCGATACCTCCTTGGGAAGCACCTCCATGTCACGCTAGGAAAATTGCCCATTTCTGCACGGACTGACTGAAATCCTTGGAGGAAGAAGGAGTTTTTTCCCTCTGATTTGAGCAGAGCTCGAGCCTTCCCCTTTGCCTGTGCTACCCCCATGTGCAGGCACATTCTTGGTGGCATTGGGGCTGACCTTCCCACTGAGCCGCAGATATTTGGAGATCTCCCAAGCATGACCTTCACCTACTCCTGAATATTATGGGGGCATCTGCAGTGCCTTCACCCTGGATTATTTTCAGGATGATAATAGTTTTGCCAGGTTGGTTCTGGCTTTAATTGGTCACTAGAGGTAGCAAAGATGGGCCTGGTGGAAGTGGTGATGTTCTTTCAGTTGAGGTGCTCCATGTTACCCCTTCCAGGGCTGCCATTCCCTTGGGGTGATGTGTTTGTCCGGTGTGGATACAGAGAGCAGCTGAAGATCATCCACAAATCATTTTGTCCGGCACTTTTCCACCCAAATTAGAAGCTGCTGCCTCGAAGGATCCCAAGTTTCCAGGAAATAAAAGATGTGGCTGGTTGGGTGGTTGTGGTTTTTTTTATTGCGGTTGGTTTGTTGGTTTGGGTTTTTTTTTAATTTTGAAACGGCTTTAAATTGAGCAACTGGATTAGCAAATTGCGGCTGGTTTTTTTTCACAGGGGTGATTCAGGTTAGTGGAAAGCTTAATTGCTGTGCTGTTAATCTTCATTACTATGTGAAAATGCACGACAGGATACAGTACGTGCGTGAGGATGGGTCCGTGGGCTTTGATGTGACCATGAGAAACAGAAATGAGCCTCCAAATGAGGTGTGTTAAGAAAAAACCCTACTTGCTTGAGTGGAGCAGGATGTTCTGATGTGCTCTAATAGATTTCCATTTGTTCCTCCTGAGATCAGTGTGGCCCAGTCCAAAATATCAAACCCTTTTGGATAAAAAAAAAAAGCTGTTTCCAAAATTACTCTTTCCTGGTATGGGTCAGTCTGGATCTAGAGCCTGGATTTCTTCCCCCTCTCTCCAAGGTTTCCAGGAGGAAACTTGCCCTCCCCTTTAAAGTGCTCCATGCTTAATCCAGGCTGTTTTCCTTCCCCCCTCTTCCCCTCTGAGAGCAAGTGCTCCCATTTCCACCTTCCTTCTTGGAAGGAGGGCAGGGAGCTTCATTTCTCCAGCAGTAATTAATTATAATGGGGCTTATTGAAACTCATGTGTAGCTCTGGCTGAGTTATCTGAGGGCTCTCCGGAAATGCGTCAAACCAGGTGGCTCATCTTTCTCACGTGGCTATTTCCTCCCTGTATATAATAATTTCATATAATAAGTGGCAGCCCCTTAAATACAGTCCGGTGCCACCTTTGATCTTGTGCATCCCCCATTTTCCTGTTTGTTCCTGTACTCCCCTGGGGACCATTTATGCCACCGCTGGGCAGTGCACCCTGTCACACCTCATAGGAGCTGCCTATCCTGATGATTCCAGGCTGGTTCTGCTCATCTCCTTGCTTTCTTCATGGAATAGTTTGGGTTGGAAGGAACCTGAAAGACCATCCAGTCCCAACCCCCTGCCCTGGGCAGGGACACCTCCCACCAGACCAGGTTGCTCCAAGCCCCCTCCAACTTGGCCTTGAACCCCTCCAGGGATGGGGCAGCCACAGCTTCTCTGGGCAACCTGGGCCAGGCTCTCACCACCCTCACAGGCAACAATTTCTTCCCCACATCTCATCTCAATCTCCCCTTTTTCAGTTAGAAGCCATTACCCCTTGTCCTATGGCTCCCCTCCCTGATCCAGAGTCCCTCCCCATCTCTCCTGGAGCCCCTTGAGGGACTGGAAGAGGCTCCAAGGTCTCCCCGGAGCCTTCTCTTCTCCAGGCTGAACCCCCCCAACTCTCTCAGCCCCCCCTCCCAGCAGAGGGGCTCCAGCCCTCCCAGCATCTCCAGGGCCTCCTCTGGCCCCACTCCAACAGGTCCATGTTCTTCTGCTGTTGGTGGTCCCAGAGTTGGACTGGGTTGGGGGGGGTGTCTCCCCAGACAGGAGATTGGGCATCCCCCCCCAAAATACTGCACTGTACATCTCTGTCCTCTCTGCTCCCAGGATCTTGTAGGCTTTCTGGGACAGGAGTGACAGGAGGGTTTCTTATCACAAACTGTGGCAAACATCCCATTCTTTTGCCTCGTAAATCAACAATACTCACGTAAAACAACTGCTTTGGTCTTAAACCTCTGAATTTGTCTGATCCTGGGGAATGGCATCCTGCCACGTGTTCTCTTGCTACATCAACATCCAGGAGAAATCCCCGGCGTCCTGTTAAGGCTGAATGAGTCGCAATGCTTCCTTTTTTTTTAATTTTTTTTTTTTTTTGGTCAGGGTGATTTCCCTAAGCACTCATCAGGGCGTGTGGGGAAAGCAAAACTCCTTCTGCGTTGGGCAACTTGGTCATCCAGACGGTAAATCTACGTGTCAGAAAGCCACAGCTGCATTTCTGCTGCGTTTATTTTTATATATTTTTTCTTATTACTTTTTTTTTTTTCTTCAGGGCTTGCACACAGCTTTGTTGAGTTGTTCAGGATGATGCAAGAAGCGTTGCCTTTCCACATGGCATTTAGAACAAATGTTTTTTCTTGCCAAACGGCTCTCCCAGGCCAGGAGAGAGACACGGTGCAGTTGCTGTGGTTCTGATTAAATCAAACAAAGCTGGTTGACAACAAGGACTCTCTTTAAGAGCTGTCATTTTTGGTGGCCTTATTGCTTGCCTGGCTGGTCCCTTCTGCAAAGGTCGGCTCTCACCCATGTGTCATCTACAGACCGAGGTGGCTGGTCCCAAATGGGAGCTGTGAGCCCCCCTATGTGGGGGTCACAGCTCTTAAAGCCACCAACATCCCCTGTCTCACTGGATGTGTCCCCAGCAGAAACATCTGTGGTCTCTATAACCCTGTCTGATGTGCAGACAAGGAAAGAAAACTGTGAATTTTTTTATGATCAGTGTGAAAAAGTAGAGCCTAAGTTTTTTTTTTTATTAATTTTTAATTATTTATTTATTTATTTTATTTTTTTATCCAACAGGTCACTGGTCATTTAGATGACTGCACCTGCGATGTAGAAACCATTGATGCCTTCAACAACTACAAGCTTTTTCCTAGGCTGAATGAACTTCTGGAAAACGACTATTTTAGATACTACAAGGTAACTTTCTCATACAAGAATTAGATTATTGCATGAATTTTGTGGGCTGCTGCTTCTTATTTAAAACAAACAAAAAAATAATAATAAAATCTTCCTTGAAGTTATTTCTGATCTTTTTAAAATCAGGTATCCCCATTTTAATACTTATTTTTAGCAAAACAGTAAGTCTGACTCTTCTATTGTCAGGAGAATCTTAATGTGATACAACAACATGCTTCTAAAATAAATTGCACGTTTTTAAAGATAGAGAAATAGGATATTTTAGTTAGAAGGAACCTACAACGATCATCTAGTCCAACTTCCTGACCACTTCTGGGCTGACCAAAAATTAAAGCAAATTATTTAAGGGCATAGTCCGAATGTCTCTCAAACACTGATGGGTGTCTCTACCAGACCCACAAAATCTTGTTAAATGTTAATTGTTTTAAAAGAATGGTACATGATACTGACTCAGGGACCAGAAAGACGGGTTTGTTAATGTCCTCTCCCCTTCCAGTGTTGGGATTTGTAACAGAAATATTAAGATTGGTCAGAAGGAAGCAGGGACAGAGATGTCTGTGAGTGAAAAAGCATAAGAACCTTGCTCAAAGTTTTGTTATCTGAAGTCCTGCACTGAGAGGCTGAAGATGTGTGTGATGGTAAACCAAGGTTGGCTTGGTGGCACGGAGGAAACGTATAACAGGATAATATGTTCTTTGTAGGTCAACCTAAAGAAACCGTGTCCTTTTTGGAACGACAACAGTCACTGTGGGATCAGAGACTGTGCTGTAAAGCCCTGTCCATCTGTAAGTACCAAATCCCTTCTTTTCCCCCTCTTCTATATTGGGCTTTTGCAGACCAAGAGGAAGAAGCAGGGAAATGATTTACTCTTTTTTACCAAATCCCTTCTTTTCCCCCTCTTCTATATTGGGCTTTTGCAGATCAAGAGGAAGAAGCAGGGAAATTATTTACTCTTCGTTATTGTAGCTAGAGCAAAACTGTGGCTTCAGAGCTTTCTTAGGTGCAGTAATACTGAGAAAACCTTTCAGAATTTTGCATTTTGGGCTAAAGAAAGGTTGGGCTTTTAATAGCTGACCCTCCCTGAGCAGCCAAAAACTTGGCCTCGTCCCTCTTTTATTTTTGGTATCAGTGAGATGAGTTTTGGGGCAAATCAGTGTTGTTACAAGAAGTGCCTCTTGTGTGAATTTGCCAGAATATTCAACCTGTTGGCCCATGAGCTACGCTGTGATTTGCAGCTTGGGCTGACAAATTTGACCAGGACCTTTCTCTTTCCATGAATTGGCTCTTTCCAAGTCCTCCGTTTCCCAGAACAAAAGCAAATGCTCTTTTCTCTGTATCCTGGAAAAAAAAAGGAGTTTGTTCTCTGGGCTAAAAGAAAACCTCTTGACTGCAGGTGTCTGGCTGGAGAGAAAGGGAAGAGAAAGTGAGTGAATCAGGATTCGGTTGCTGGGTTGACAGGGGTGGTGACAATGCCACCCAGCCTGGCTTTGTGGTCAGTGTGTGTGGTGGTGCTGCTCCTCAGCAGCTGCCTTACCCTTCAAACAAGTGTCCTTTGCTTCCCTCGTCTTCAAAAAGCACCTATTATGGACTCAAAATCGATTGATTTATTTATTTTTCCTCAAAATAACCCTAAATTTTGTTTAAATATTTTTTTTTCCTTAAAAAGGATGGTTTTGGTCATGTGCATGACCAATGTGACAATAACATTAGTAGCAGCTAGAAGTTGTTCTTAATTTAAGTGCTGACTGTGTGGCTGCTGGCTTTAATTATTTTGGTTTGGGTCCATTTCATTCTGAAAGCAACGAAAATAACCCTTATTTGTTATTTAACTTTTCTCTTGCTGTGCTGCTCCCCATGGTGGTGTTTTCTTCCTGATGGAAGTGGTTTTATTGCCTTCCTACTGATGGAGGACATGGAAGTTGAGGAGAACTTAGGGCCTGAGCATCTTGTGGGCCCTGCTAGTGTTGCGTGGGGCTGGTGAGGATGACGTTACGTGATGGAGTGAGGAAAGGGAATCATAGAATCATAGAATGGCCCAGGCCGGAAGGGACCTCCAAAGGCCATCTAGTCCGACCTCCGCGCGGTCAGCAGGGACACCCCCAACTAGACCAGGTTGCCCAGGGCCTCGTCGAGCCTCTCCTTGAATATCTCCAGGGAAGGGGCCTCAACCACCTCCCTGGGCAACCTGTTCCAGTGCTCCACCACCCTCACAGTGAAGAACCCTCTCCTCATCTCCAGTCTAAATCTGTTCCCCTCCAGCTTGAAGCCATTGCCCCTCGTCCTGTCACTGCAGGCCTTTCTAAACAGGTTCTCCCCAGCCTTCCTGTAGGCTCCCTTCAGGGACTGGAAGGCTGCTATTAGGTCTCCCTGGAGCCTCCTCTTCTCCAGGCTGAACAACCCCAGCTCCCTCAGCCTGTCCTCGTAGCAGAGGTGCTCCATCCCTCTGATCATCCTTGTGGCCCTCCTCTGGACCTGATCCCTCAGGTCCATGTCCTTCTTATGTTGAGGGCTCCAGACCTGCACACAAAGGTTTTGGATTATGTATATCAGGGGCCAGGAGGTGAAATATCTGAAAAGAGGTGCCTGGGCTCCTGCTGGGAGACAGGATGATAGAATCATGGAATGGTTTGGGTTGGGACAGATGCCAGATGTTGGCCAAGCACAGGCAGCTCTGGCTCCTCAGAGGTTTATATCGGCTTCCTCAACCTTCACACTTGGGTAAGCAAAACATAACCTGACATAGTGCCTGAGCAGAGGTGCTCCATCCCTCTGATCATCCTTGTGGCCCTCCTCTGGACCTGATCCATCAGGTCCATGTCCTTCTTATGTTGAGGGCTCCAGACCTGCACACAAAGGTTTTGGATTATGTATATCAGGGGCCAGGAGGTGAAATATCTGAAAAGAGGTGCCTGGGCTCCTGCTGGGAGACAGGATGATAGAATCATGGAATGGTTTGGGTTGGGACAGATGCCAGATGTTGGCCAAGCACAGGCAGCTCTGGCTCCTCAGAGGTTTATATCGGCTTCCTCAACCTTCACACTTGGGTAAGCAAAACATAACCTGCTGAAGGCTGCTGACCTTTTGAGAAGGAAAGTCTTGCGAAAAAAGTCAAAATAAAATAGCAAGAATATTGCTTAACCCCGGACTGTGGAGGAGCTAGAAATGGGACGTGTTGTAAGCCATGCCGAGCGCTTTGCTTCCTTCCTGACTCCTTGAAACCGTGGTCGCCTTCCTCAACGTCTTTCTCGACCATTAGGCTGAAAGGCCTCATCAGCCTCACGTGTAGCACACTTTGTCTTTTCAGGATGAAGTCCCTGATGGAATCCGAGCTGGAAGTTACAAGGTAGGTGTGTCCCTGGGTGCAAAATGATGCCGCTTTATAGGACCAGCGTTGTGTCACTGCAGCTGATAAAAGCTGCTTTAACCAGATGGGCAGCATCTGTTGGGATTCTTACCCTCTTCCAAGGGTTTGGCATGCTCTAGGGCCCGTGAGGTGGCTGTCCTCAACTCAGGTGTTCTCCTCCACTGATGTGGAGCAGTTGAGGAGACTCCTCCAAGAGCAAAACAGCAGAGGCTGCTGTGAGTCCCAGCACCGCTCAGCCCCATTGCACAAGCCTCTGAATAACTGCAGAAATCCTGTGGAAATACAGGGGGAATGAATCATGAAAGTCTTTCTAATGCTTAAACTGGCTGGTGCTTTAAAGGCGGAATTATAACAGCAGAAAAAATGCTTTTTTTAATCCTCCTTTCTCCCCGCCCCTTTGCTTTTCAACCCAGTATTCGGAAGAAGCCAATAGCCTCACTGAAGAATGCGAAGAAGCCAAGAGGCTTGGAGCTGTCGATGGCTCTTTGAGGTTGGGCTTCTTTTTCCATAATCCTTACTTTTCTTGAAGGAAACCTGGGATCTCTGCTCTTTCTGATAGTTTTTTTCCTTTTTCTTCCCAGTGAGGAAACCCAGCAGGCGGTGCTGCAGTGGACACAGCACGATGACTCTTCAGACAGCTTCTGCGAAGCCGATGGTACGGGGGACCTGTTAGATCTGACAAGCTTTGTCCTGGGATTTTAAGCACCTCTGCAGACCTTTCTGGCCAACATGTAATATTTCAGCAAGCCTGGAGCACACCCAGCGTTTCTTCTCTTTTCCACCCCCCTCGGGCTCGGAGTATTTTGAAAATAACATGATGTAAATATTTCAGAGAGCTTTTCCCCGCTGCAACGGGTCAATGAGTAGCAAGTGCTGTGCTCTGGCCTCTCTGGAGGGGGATGAGCTGGTCTCTCTGCTGGCAAAGAGTGTCCAGGATGTGAAGGGGGTGGCTGGATCAGGCTTGGAAGGTGGCATTTTCCTTCTGGAGTGCTGGGTCAGTGACAAACACTTTGCTTCACAGATATCTATTCTCCTGACGCCGAGTACGTGGATCTACTCCTGAATCCTGAACGTTACACTGGCTACAAAGGACCGGATGCCTGGAAGATCTGGAACAGCATTTACGAAGAAAACTGCTTCAAGTAGGTGCTTTGGGAGACAGGTTCCACGAGCCCACAGGTGCTGATTTTTTGTGGAGAGGCTGCGTGTACTTAAACTGCTTCATTATTCCCCATCCTTTGCCCAGAGAAGCTGTGGTTGCCCCATCCCTGGAGGGGTTCAAGGCCAGGTTGGAGGGGGCTTGGAGCAACCTGGGCTGGTGGGAGGTGTCCCTGCCCAGGGTAGGGGGGTGGAACTGGATGATCTTTAAGGTTTCTTCCAACCCAGACCATTGTATGATCCTTCCTGCCTTCATTCCTATGTGATGTTGTCCTGGGCACACAGTCATTTGGCTGCAGGGAAGTAACTACTTCTGCTGTGCTGTGTTTCTGCGCAGCGAGGAGACAGTTGTTTATTTATATATCTTATTGAAATGATTATTTTTTTTCCCCTCTTAGGCCTCACAATGTAAAGAGACCTTTGACATCTGGTAGAGGTGAGTCATTTATTTATCTCACTATGTGATTTAGTAGCGTATGATCCTAGTTCCAGGAACAAGTAAATGCTTTCTGAGCTGCTTCTACTAAATGAGAAACACGTTGTAGCTCTTGATCGAGGGTAGAATTTTATGGCCATCACAAGGGCACCTGGAAATGTGGCTTTCTAGCATCCATCATGGGAAAGAAAGGCTGATCCTCCACTCCTGGCAAAAGTGCAAGCTTTGGAGGGGCTGGGAGCAAGCCTGAACTCTGAGCTCTTCCTGGGTCCCTGGTTTCTGTACTCAGCAGCACCAAAACCATCTGTGATGGTTTGAAACGAGAACCTGGCTGGGATCCTCTGTGGAAACCACCCAGTAAGAGAAACCCTGCCCTAGAGGCTAAGGCTAAATGTGTAAATGAAAGTAGGGAAGGGATTTGGAAACGAAAGAGCTTCTTGCTAAGAGACCCCATGTCTCTTGATGCCCCATCCTGCCCAGGCATCAAGAACATCACCAGCTTCGCTCCCTGTTGGTTTAATGTGCGGTGGTTTTACTTCCTCTGCAAATATTGATCCTTCTTGTGTTGGTCGGGTTATTCAGGAGCATTTCATGGTGTTTTCTGTGTTCAGAGGGTTTCTAAACCACCCTGGAGAGGCTTGTTCTCCTGTCAGAGCAGATTAACAGAGCGATCTTAACATTTGGGCTTTGGAGGTTAATTTTGGTCATGTGTAATTTTTATCTCCTCTTTTCTCTCCCTCTACCATCCGGGTTTGGTGGTTTTGGTTTTTTTTTCCATCAGGAGACGATGGAGGTGAGTGACACTATGTTTGTTTTTACTGATAACAGAAACAAATGGGGCATCTTTATCACGCTGTCACGAGCTGTAGCGTTAGATAAGGCACCTGGTTGGCAAAACCCAGGCAAAATCCAAAGTTGTCCTGAAATTCTCTGAGGTCCCTGTCCCCAAGACCAGCCCATCCTTGGGTGAAGGTCTTAAAAAGAATCAACAGGGGTTTTTTTAGAACACAGGTCCTGTTTGAAGGTTGTCACTGAAGTGGCATAAACCTTCAGGAATGGGACTTTTGTGGTTTTCTTAGCACTTGTTATTGCTGAGAAAGCAGCTCTTGGGCTGGAGCTTTGAGAAGACTTGTAGCCCCAAAAGCCTCTGACATCTGGTAGGAGCTGGGTGTCCAAATCCCTCAGGCTCTGCAATGTTGGGGGAAACATCTGGGAAGGGCTGTGCCCTGGAGCTCTTCACCTTCTGCAGCACTGGGCCTGTCTATTTGGCACATCTTCGTCTCCAAATTATCACCAAATTGATGTTCTCCAGATTGCTTTCAAGCATGTGGTGGGTGAAACACTGACTTGTGTGGTTGCATATGCTTGGTTGCACTATTTTATTTTATTTTTCATAAAAATACCTGTCTCCCCATCCTGGCTACCTCTGGGGTGGTTTCAGGGCAGCAGATTTGGGCAGCACCCTCCCCTCTGTGGCACGGGAGGGCAGAAGCCCTCCTGTGCCACAGAGGGGAAGGTGCTGCCCTTGTCTTACTCCTGGATCATCTTGTGCTTGGAAGGATGTGGCCAAAAGCATGTCACAGTGTGTTAAAGGCCTCCTTCTGCTGTGGGATGTCTCAAACTGATGCACTTGTTCTCCTTTTTGTCCCCAGGGCACACGTTTTACAAGTGGCTAAAAGGTAATCCTTGCTCTTAACTCGGTTCCTCTTCCCAGGATGAAGGTGGAATGGCCAAGGGAGTGGGTGGGAGTTACTGACCCTGCTGGGGTGGGATTAGATTTCTGCCCTAGACCTGGGAGAGAGAAATTCAAGGTGTGCTTTCCATATCTTGAAGTACCCATTTCTTTTTCAGGTGTCTGCGTAGAGAAACGAGCTTTCTACAGACTCATTTCTGGTCTCCACGCGAGCATCAACATCCACTTGAGCGCCAGGTACCTTCTACAAGGTAAATGCTAATTTCTGCTGTAGGGATCCTGCCTCAGTCCTAAATTGGCACTTCTGTGGCTCCACTAAACGCTTGCCCCATTCCAGCAGGCTTCAGGCCCACTTCTGTGCTCTTCCCTCCCCTCCCTCAGCAGGCAGGTTGTGTGACAGAATCAGGAATGCAGCGACCACGTGGCCTCCGGGTCTAAAAATGGCCGTAGCGTGCTCTGTACTGAGACTTCCAGCACGTTATTCCTCCTGTTCTTCCTCCAGGGTTATTTTGGAGTGGGTTTCTAACCTCCTACAGCAGCCAGTCTTCATGGTGGTCGCTTCAGCCACCATCACACCTCGACTGTGAAATGCTTGGCTGGGCTTTTCCCAAGACCCTTGATCCGTTTCCGTTTTTCCTTTCTCCATAAATAGCTATCTAAAAAAAAAAATAAATCTAAATTGCAACCCCAGGGGTTGAAAAATCAATGTGAAAACAACTTTTGTGTGTCTTGCCCACGACACACCGTTCCTGCCGCGTGGGGTGCAGGTTCTGACGGGCTTCCTGAAGGATTTAGTCCTGGTACCTGTGGACCGAGCCGACCACCTGTATTCTGCTAAAGCTTACAAAAATGAAGCACAGATTTGTAGATGGCTGTTGCAATTTGGATAAGTAATTTAGATTTAACCAAGCAATTATATTTAAGTCCCTACATCCCACATAGGCCTCGCCTGGATGTGAGTTGGGCTACATTAGGGTTGGGAGAGAGAATAACAGGGAAACATCAAAGGCAGGAGATGAGCTGGGAGTCAGCAGAGAGGATTAGGGAAAATAAGGTTGATTGCAGCCAGGCAAGTGTGTCTCTGCTTGGCTTGTGTAGAAAGAGGTGGCTTCTGTTGGTGAGAGGCTACAGAAGATGAGTCCCTCCCCATCTCTCCTGGAGCCCCTTGATGGACTGGAAGGGGCTCCAAGGTCTCCCCGGAGCCTTCTCTTCTCCAGGCTGAACCCCCCCAACTCTCTCAGCCTGTCCTCCCAGCAGAGGGGCTCCAGCCCTCCCAGCATCTCCGTGGCCTCCTCTGGCCCCACTCCAACAGCTCCATGTCCTTCTGCTGGTGGTGGCCCCAGAGCTGGAGGCAGCACTTGGGAGGATGTCTCCCCAGAGCAGAGGGGCAGATTCTCCCCCCTCGCCCTGCTGGGGGTGCAGCCCATGTTTTAAACAGAGTGTCAGAGCTCTGCAGGAGTTCTGCATCCCTTGGGGTTGGTTAAAAGCATCTTTTTCTTGACTCTTGACCAATTTGCGGTTGGTGAAAGGGCTGTGACTCCTCTAAAGGTTGGATCTCCCTGGTCAGAGTCGCCTTTCGACAGTGGGAGGAGGTGAACCAGAACTAAAACCCATCCACCTCACCCCATTGCTTTGGCTTTTTCTTTTTTTTCCGCTCTCTCAGATACGTGGTCAGAGAAGAAATGGGGCCCCAACGTTACGGAGTTCCAGCAGAGGTTTGATGAAGTCCTCACCCGAGGGGAAGGGCCCAGGAGACTCAAGAACCTCTATTTTCTCTACCTGATCGAGCTGAGGGCCCTTTCCAAAGTGCTGCCCTTTTTCGACCGCCCCGGATTCCAGCTCTACACGGGGAATAGAAATCAGGACGTGGAAGTGAAGAACCTATTGTTGGAAATTCTCCATCTGGCCAAGTAATTACATTCGGGGAGAAATGTGGCTCTTTCCACCCTGGCACCTCTGAGCCCACTTAAACCTTTCGCTTAAAGCTCCTGGAAAGGCAGGTTTTTGGGTTCTTTCTTGTAGGGGGAGAGCGTGGTTTGTGCAGTAGAGTTGGCATTGCTGGGAGGACATTTGGTATCTCTATTCAAATTGCAAAACAGGGTAATTAAGCCCCTGGTTTAATAGTCCAGGCTGCCTTTTTGATTTAGCCGAGTTGGATTTAATAACCGCCTACGCGTCGGCCCTGAAATTGGCTCCGTGTTTGACTCACTCGTGGAACAACAGCCCTGGATTTGTGTTTTTGATTAGAAAATAATCCTAAGCATGTTGGTAAGAGAACTTTGGGCTGTTGGACAGAGTCTGAAGTGAGAAGAGAATTGCCTCCATCTTTGGAGACATTCAAAACCCACCTGGACATGTTCCTGTGCAACCTGCTCTGGCAGGGGGTTGGACTAGATGATCTCCAGAGGTCCCTTCCAACCCCATGTGATTCAGTGGTCCTGCGAATGGAAGATACTGGAACCACATGGAAAAGTGTGGTCTCCTAAAGTGATTGATACTTGAATTTATCTTGTCACCCTCCCAAAAGCACCCTTTGGTGCTTTTGCCTGTTAGAAAACAGACTCCACTTGCTTAGAAACCGTGGAGCAATTGCTGAAAAGGTCTCCAGGTGAAAATTGAAAGCCTCCAAGAGGTTTAAGAAACAAGCAGCTTGACTTAAAATACATCCTGAGATGCCCAGTGTCTGACACCTCTTGGTTTCAGTATCATCACCAGATGCTTCTGTGGAGCTGGACTTCAGCCATACAAACAAGCTGTGGAGAGATAAAACTCTTTTTTTTTTTTTTTCATTCCATTTCAGGTCTTTCCCGCTGCATTTCGATGAAAACTCCCTCTTTGCAGGGAATAAAAAGGAAGCTGCTAAACTGAAGGTAATTAATTGGGCAGCCCTTCCCTTTGGGGCTACCGAAAGGGGATTTTCAGCTTTGTGTCTGGGATAACACCAGATCTGAAAGGGATCCCAGTACACTCAGGGTACTGGATTGGGTATTTCTGATTAATTTGGCTTTCTGAATGGTTTGGGTACTTTTTGGATACTTGTAGGTACCCAAGGCACTTAGATCCTACAAGGCACAGGCAGGATGTGCCTTAAGGAGAGAGGGGGAACTGCTTCTGAGGACCCCACTTGAGGAAGCATTTCCCTAACTCAATCCCACTGAATTTAGCCTGAAATCCAGGATTAACACACTATTGGATTAACACACGGAAGAAGTTCTAATTAGTGCATAACCACGATCAACTTGAACCTCTTTTTTCCCCCCCAGGAGGAATTTAGGCTCCACTTTAAGAATATCTCGAAGATCATGGACTGTGTTGGCTGCTTCAAGTGTCGCCTGTGGGGGAAGCTGCAGGTGAGCTCCATGGGGGTGGGGGAGAAGGTCTGGAAGCACCTCATCTGCTGAGACCCCAGGGCATGGAGGGGATTTCTAGATACTTAGGAAGCCTCTGCCATCACAGCAACACTAAAGAAACAAAAACATCAATTCTGCTGCCTTCTCTGAGCTGTGCTAAGTGAAACCCAGGTCTTGCTCTCTTAAGATGATGGATGGAATTAAAAATAAATCTTTTGAGTTGGGCCCTGGGTGTCTCCCCACCCTTAACCCATCCTCTTTCTTCACCACGCACAGACACAGGGCCTGGGCACGGCGCTGAAGATCCTCTTTTCTGAAAACCTGATAGAAAAGATACCCGAAAGTGGCCCTTCCTACAGATTCCAGCTGACCAGACAAGAAATCGTTGCCTTATTTAACGCTTTTGGAAGGTTAGTGTGAGACTTTCTCCTCTAATTTTTCTTTTTTTTTACACAAGCTGCCGTGTTACATCCCATTTCAGCTTAAACAACCAGTTCTCATCGGGAATATTGGTGTTACCTCCCGCTCTGACCACACTTGGGATCTTATAAAGAAGCTCTTGATGATCAGATGACGTTAAAATGGAGGGCAAGAGCTGGAACAATTTAAAAGCACTTCTTCATGCTCTACATTTCTGTAAAGGATTCAAGGAATTTCTATTGATACACAGAATTTGGTAGTTTTTGAAGGAAACCGTGTGACTCCGTCCTGGCAGCACATTGTCCCCAGACAAGGGTGGCTTTTCTTGCTCTCTGCCCACATTAGAGCTCTCCCTCAGGCTTCTGGCTCCCACCAGTTCATTCCCAGCTCCGCACTGGTTGCCTTTAACAGGAATCCATCGGTCTGGCCCTTGTGGGGAGCTGGATGAGGAGGTTTTTGGCAGCAAAAGAGGGTAACGAGGCCTTTGGGAGGGAGAGGAGATTGCGAGACACTCGGGTTGGACGTTACAGCTGGGTGGTGTTGACAGACCTGGAGTTTCTGGCAAATGGGTTTTTTTTCAAAGGATTCTTCAGGGCGATGTCGCTGCCGACGCGTAAAGCTCAGAGCTCCTGTCCCTCCTCAAACCTACTCACTGCACCTTCTGCGTGGGGTGACCCTAATGGGCATCATTACCCCCAAAATACTCTTCCTGGGGATGCTGTGGTGCTGCCCTTGCACCAGAGGAGCTGGGTGTCCTTCTGCCTTTCTGTTGTCCTGTCAGCACGGCCTCTGGAAGCGGCACGGAGGAGACTCGCAGACCCTCTGAACATCTGTGTTGAGAGGAAGCTGAGGGCTGGCAGAGAGCCTTTTGCTTTCTTCCCTTCCCCATCTGCTGCCCAGCTAAAACTCCACCCTGGAAGTCCTCCCCTGTGGGGAAACACAGGGGTCAGGCAGCTTTTTCTCAAACTCCAGCCTCGTGTCATAGGGTGGTTTGGGTTAGGGACCTTAAAGATCATCCATTTCCAACCCCCTGCCCTGGGCAGGGACACCTCCCACCAGACCAGGTTGCTCCAAGCCCCCTCCAACCTGGCCTTGAACCCCTCCAGGGATGGGGCAGCCACAGCTTCTCTGGGCAACCTGGGCCAGGCTCTCACCACCCTCACAGTCAACAATTTCTTCCCCACATCTCATCTCAATCTCCCCTTTTTCAGTTTGAAGCCATTACCACTTGTCCTATGGCTCCCCTCCCTGATCCAGAGTCCCTCCCCATCTCTCCTGGAGCCCCTTGAGGGACTGGAAGGGGCTCCAAGGTCTCCCCGGAGCCTTCTCTTCTCCAGGCTGAACCCCCAACTCTCTCAGCCTGTCCTCCCAGCAGAGGGGCTCCAGCCCTCCCAGCATCTCCGTGGCCTCCTCTGGCCCCACTCCAACAGCTCCATGTCCTTCTGCTGGTGGTGGCCCCAGAGCTGGAGGCAGCACTGCAGGTGGGGTCCACCCACCTGGATCAGAAGAGCCTTTTAAAACAGACCTCCATCTTTTTTGCTGCTTGTCCAAAAGCAATTTGGGTTATCCAGAAACTCCTTAAACCCGAGGTTTCTCCTGGCTGGGAAGGGCAGGTCTCTCCTTCATGGGCCGTGTCCTCAAAGTCCCAGCTGGGACCTTCACTGATGCGGCTTCAGCAAGAAAAACGAGGTAGGTCGTTCAAAAAAAAAAACCACCCCAAAACCCTTCTACTGCAAGGACACTCTGTGACCCACCTGCAGGGCTGGTAATATTATGGTCTGTTTCTTTACCAGTAGTTCCTGGGTTTGTCTGCTCCCTGCTGAGCTCTCTGCAGTACCTTCATCCACCCCGTCTCTCCGTGTTTGCTTTAAAAAGAGTTTGGGAAATCAGTGAAGGTTGTAACCACAACCTCATTCAGCTGAAATTCTAGATGCTTCTCTTCCCCAGAGCTCCTTGAAGCTTTCCTTGATCCCAGTTCCCTTTCTCTTGGATTTGAAATAAGACGTGGGACATAAGTTGCTCAAGTGTTTCCCGTTTGCTTTAAAAAGAGTTTGGGAAATCAGTGAAGGTTGTAACCACAACCTCATTCAGCTGAAATTCTAGATGCTTCTCTTCCCCAGAGCTCCTTGAAGCTTTCCTTGATCCCAGTTCCCTTTCTCTTGGATTTGAAATAAGACGTGGGATGTAAGTTGCTCCAAGGTTTCCCTTTTGCTTTCCTCGCCCGCAGGATTTCAACCAGCGTCAGAGAACTGGAAAACTTCAGGAACATCTTACGGAACATGCGGTGAATCCACTGGAGAAAGAGAGAGAGACTTCCAAGTTTGATCCTCTCGGCTGTTCCGGGTTCTCCAAACAGGGACAAACACCATCATTTCCTCACACTCCCAACCACTACGTGGTGAAGGTCACTTGTGGGACCTCCTTTTGGCAGCTGATTGTCTGTAACCTGCTGATGGAGAAATATTTTGTACAAGGGGAAACAAACAAACAAACAAAAGCTACTATTTTGTGTGTATAAAGATGGGGACTATATGTAAAGTTTATTTTATATATTGGAAGATCATTCTGAATAACTTCTTTAACTCTTGCTGTGCTGTTGCTATGGATGAGACCCAGCTCTTTGCCTTCAGAAGCTGGAGGTGGGGCCAGAACTGTGATGCTGAATAAATTTGGGGGAAAATTCCTTGTCTGCTCCGTGATTCCAAGCAGTTCCTCTTTTTCCAGTGTCTCCATGCTAACTTTTTGCTGCCCTACCTCGATGCCTTCCTCGTACTGGTGGAACGTTTTCCTGGTACTGGGCTGCTCCTGGTGGTCTCTGCTCCTACACTTTGTAGGCTTCAGCCATCGTGTCCTTCTTGGAGGCAAGGAGAGATGAACCAAGCAGCAGCAGCAGCATGCTGGAAGAACCCTGCTACTCTCCATTTCTCTCTGAAGAGAAAATTGGGCTTTTTAGGAGCCCTGCAAAGCTTCTCAGCCTCCAGGTAGCACCCCTCCTCTTCCTCAGGTAGGGCAAGGGCAGCCAGGACCTGAGTTCCAGCCTCTCCTGCAGAAAGCAACTGGGAAGTGGTGGTTTTTCTGCTGCTCCCTCCCTCTTAGAGTCGGTTTGTCCTCGTTTGGGAGCCAGGAGCAGCCCAGGGGCTGCTCAGGGGCTGAAGCCAGGTTGAATTGTTGCTCCTCACAAGGACAAGCAGCTGGAGAAGTGGGACAGAGAGCTGCTGGGACAGAGCAGAGGGGCCTTCCCGGGCAGGGAAGGAGGGAGGAGACACCCTGGGGTGGCCGCGGGGACACAGCCAGCCCCGATTACACCAGCTGCCTTCGCAACAGGGGCAAAGGACAAGCTCATATGTGGTCGGTGGTGACACCCCCCCAGGACCAGGGGGTGAAAGAGTTGCACCACCAGCCGTGCTGCTTTTCAGCCTGAACCCCCCCCCCCAGAAACACACTTGTAGGGGGGGTGACACTTGAAGGTGTCACTGCTGTTGGCAGCGAGCTCAAGGCCACCCAGATAAACCCCTGCAAGGAAAGAAGGGAAGGACCAAGCTCTGGGGTTTCAGCTCCTCCACAGCCCCAGAGGAGGCTGGAAGGCTGGCAAGTCCCCAGGAGGGGACAAAGCACAGCACCTCCTGCCCTGGGAGCTGTGTGTGTGTGGAAGCAGGTGGTGATCTGAGCATGTTGTGCCTCAGGAGATGGGGACAAAGGGAAGCCCTGCCTCCCTCAGGCCCCAGAAACACCAGAGGATAAAGCACCCTGTCCTCTCCAGCCCCAGAAAAGCCACTGCTACAACGGGGAACCACAGGACCCCTCACAAAAGCCACCTCTGGGTGCTCTGCACCCAACCAGGTTCAAGCCCGGAGAGGGACTGGTGGGGATGCTGGTCACACTGGAGCAAAGCACAACATGGTGGTCCCCAGCAGCTTCTGGCTCCCCAGGACCAAGCTACAGCAGGTCAGGCTCAGCCCATGGAGAAGCAGGGTCACCAAGACCCATCTCAGCAGAGCCATCAGCTGGCCAGCACCACCACCAAAGCCCTGGCCAGGACAAGGGTGACCATGGCTGGAGCTGGGTCACACCAAGAGCAAAACCTAGCACTGAAAAACCCCCTTTTATTATTTATTTTCTTTATTTTTTTTTTTAATTATTTCAACATAGTAGTGCTCAGTTACAGTTTAGTGAAGAACAAATAGGTACATTCATTGGCCACAGCTTCCTGTGGCAGCCAGCTGCTGCCTGCCTGCAAAGCCAAAATACTGTTAAACCATACCAAAAACAAACAAAAAAAAAAAAGAAAAAAGTTTAATGAAAAGGCAACTATGCATTAAAAAAGTCATTGTACTTCTCAGCTATAAATTACTTCAGTAAAACACGGGACCGGCCCCAGGGGGAGGGGTCGGAGTTTGGAAATTAAGGGCCATCCATACAAATGAATAAAACCAAACCACTTGTTGTTTTATTTCTGTTTTGCTTTTTTTTTTTTTGCCAGTCCCTCAGGAGTACATTTAGCAACAAGACTCCCTGCCCCAACCTGCCATCCCAGTGCCAGGAAGATCATGGTGGTGGTGGTGATGTTGTTGTTGTGTGCTTCAGTGCAATACGAACAATGAGCCTGTAGCCCTTTAATATTTTTTTTAATTATTATTTTCTTTTTTTTTTTTTTTGCACTACACTCCTTTCCCTCCAAAGAAAAACTTAAAGTGCTCCTAGTGCTTTGGAATTTAAGCATAACAGGGCAGGAGAAGGGGAGGGGGGGGCCCACTAGTGTCACTTACTGTCTTTGGTGACTTATGGGGAGAAGAAAGGAGGACTTTGCCATAAGTCAAGCAGTGATTGAGATGGAGCAACCCCTTTCCTGCAGCCCAGCCCAGCCCAACCCAGGGGACAGGTCCCTTATCCCTTGGAGAGTCACAGCATCACAGCAGTCAAGGGTGGAGCTCCCTGGTTCAAGTACTAGAGCAAGAGGGATGTGTTGAAATGAAAAGTTGTCATCTCGGAGCCTTCTCAAAAAAAAAAAAAAAAAAGAGCAGCAGGGGTTTCTCCTGGTTTGGGGCCACCACGAGTGAAGTGGGGGGTGAGTAGGGAGAGGTCCACAGGGAGGGACAGGGTGTTCTCAACGTGACAAGTGACATCTAGCTCAGTACAAGTGATGCAGGTGACGGGGCCATCCTAGTGAGCGCATGGCCAGTGAGGAGAGGCCGGAGCTGGCCCAGGGCTTGTGAGGTTCTCCCTCACACAGCTGTGGACACAGAAGGTGCCTCGGGGTCTCCTCCAGCACCAGAGCCCAGCCCCGTGTCCCACAGCCCCACTCCCAGCTAAGTCCTTCACCATCAGACTGGGGTTTGAAGAGCAGGAGCAGCTCTAGGTAGGGGAAAAAGCAGTTCCAGTTCAGGTTGCCACCACAGGTCAGAGCAGTTGCCCTCCCTGGACCAGTGTCTCCATCCAAAGCTACTTTGCTCATCCCCACATCGGGCTGAGGGCCAAGCCAAGGAATAACATCAAGCCTCATCTCCAGGAGCTCCACAGAGCTAGAGGCCAAGCTCCAACTTGGCTATTTTGGTTCAAGACAGATGGAGACACCTCCTCCCAGCCCACTCAGACCCTGTGTGCGCCCAAAGCCCTGCTGACACACCTCCTGGAGCATCAGGAGACTCCTCCAGGCCCATGGTCCTGCCCCACAGCAGGAGAAGGGACAGCCAATGAGCCCAGATCTCTGGAGCATCAACCACTTCCCTCCACGGACAGACACCTCCCGCATCTCAGCAGGGATCCCACCATTTCACATTCACTTCGGGTTAAAACTCTTGGTTTATCAGCTAAACGCAATTTAATACTGAGGAGGGTAGGGGGGGGAAGGGGAGCCCCACCAGGGGTGAAGAAGAGGAGGGAGCAGGAGCGCTCTCACCACCCACCAGTCCAAGCAGCCCTGGTTTCACACATGTTTTGGGCCACGGACGTTCCTGCACGCACACTCTCCTTGGGCCAGGGCTAAGGTCTCCCAAAAGGGACCTGTTTTGCCCCCTCCATCCACACCAACCCTTTTCCTTCACCAAAATCGAGCGGGTTGGTTCCAACCTAAAGTGAGCTTAACGCCAGTAAGAGCACTCCATCTCACCCTCCCAGGTTGGGGGGACATGCTTGGAGGTCAGCTTGGAGCCCACAGACAGCAGGACAGAGCAGCAACCAGGTGACACCAGGACCGGCAAGACCACCCTTCAGCCCGGAAGAGCCAGCCCAGCCAGGTGGGAATATGGCACAGTTTTTGCTTGAACATTCACTGCTGGAGGCCCTGCCCCAAAACACGCTGGGGCCTGGAGCTTCCCACTCCCACGTGAGTCAGGAGGCAGAGTACTTCATGGAACACGTCTTTGCAGGAAGACGGTGCCTCTCCCAGCTCTGGATGTGCAATTAAAAAGAGTAACTAGAAACAAACAGTCTCGGACCGAGCACGGCCACGAGCAAGATCTACGTTCCTTCCAAGTGTGCAGATAAAAGTGCAAAATATGCATTTTGATGTTTCTTTTTTTCTAGAGAGGAAGCTCTGGTGCATTTAGCTGCCAACATCTTGAAGACCAGACCAAGGAAAAAAAAAAAACCAACCAAAAAAACCCCCAACAAATAGCTTCCAGAGAGAGTTCAGCTTCGCTTTTGCTACATGGTACCTTAAAAGTCACAGTTCTCTTGCTCACCCCCTGCAGCCATAGGCTCAAGTCCTGCTTATGGCTGCAGCAGGTCGTGGAATGTTTGTGTCGATGAGTTAAGATGCTTCGGGGAAGAAGGAAAGAAGGGATTAAAAAAAAAAAAAAAAGAAACAACCAACCAAAAACCAACCCCAAAAACCCAAGTTACAATCCTGTACATGAAATGCCATTTCTGGGGAAGAAAAGGGACCTCGCAGCCTCTTCAGTTCTGTGGAGCAGGGTATGAGCTATGGTGATTATTCGTCTCCGAGCCGCCCGCGGCAAAGAGCAAGGGGGCACTGTCTGTAGCGGTTCCACTGAGATGGGGACCCACCACGTAGCTGTCGTTCCCAGCCAGGGACCCATAGCAGCCAGAGCACTGGGGGGTGGCCAAGCTGGGAGGAGAGAGAGACAGAAAAACCAGACACGGGCTCTTAGAGAGGAATAATTGGGCTGTGACTGGTCTCCACCCCTCCCAGTATCCCAGTCTGCAGGAGCAGGCTATGACACACAGCATCTCCAAGGAACCTGGCTTTGATGAAACCAGTACAAGGAGAGGAGCACCAGGCCCTACAACACCAGTCAAGAAGAGCCAGAACCTCCAAACCTCTCACTACAGAACAGCAGGTGGAGTTTAGACCCCTGAGCAGCGAGTGAAGGATAATGCTGTCAGGTTTCCCCTTAGTTTTGCTGGAGATATCAGACCATTCTCCCTCACACCAGCTGTTCTCACAGAGCTTCATCCCCGTTGGCTCCCAGGGACAACATCCCTCCCGGGACTTTACCACCTCTCACTTCCCAGTGGAGAAACTCCTCTGGAGGGCATTTAAGAGCCCTCTGTCCTCCATAGCTGAGGAAGGTTCCTAGCAGGATCAGCTCTCCTGCCTGTAGCCACCTGTGATATCCACCTCTCAGAGCTGGTGGCTTCTAATAAAACCAGCTCCTTGTGAGCTGCAGAAGGGAACGAGACCAAGCTCAAATCAGAAGCCTCCTTGGCCAATCCACCTTGCCCAAGCTGCCTCTTTCACCGAATTTCACTGAATTTTAGAGTTGGAAGGGACCATAGAGATCATCTAGTCCAACTCCCCTGCTGAAGCAGGATTGCCCAGAGCTAGAGCATGTTACTCAGGAGCATCCAGGCGGGGCTTGAAAATCTCCAAGGAAGGGGACTCCACACCCTCCCTGGGCAGCCTGTTCCAGGGCTCTGTCACCCTCACCGTGAAGAAGTTTCTCCTCATATTTGAGTGGAACCTCTTATGTTCCAACTTGTGCCCGTTGCCCCTCGTCCTCTCACTGGGAACCACTGAAAAGAGTCTGGCTCCCTCCTCCTTCAACCCTCCCTTGAGATACTTGTAGGCATTGATAAGGTCTCCCCTCAGCCTTCTCTTCTCCAGACTAAAGAGTCCCAGCTCTCTCAGTCTCTCCTCATAAGGGAGATGCTCCAATCCTTGAATCATCTTTGTTGCCCTTCGCTGGACTCTTTCTAGTAGTTCCCTGTCCCTCTTGAACTGGGGAGCCCAGAACTGGACGCAGTACACTGGTGAGGCCACAATTAGAGCAGTGCTCTTATCCCAAAATTCTTTCCCAAGAGCAAAAGCCAAGAGCTCTCTTCCTTCCACACAGGGCAGCAGAAGGGCAGTGGGCTTTCCCTTGCCCAGGACAACACTTACCCTCCTTCCCTGGCCCCAAGCCGTGACAAGTCGTCATCGCTGTCGTAGCGCCTCGGATTGTCAAAGAAGTAGGCTCTGGAGCTGTAGCTGTGACTATTGACCATCCCCGCCGGAGTCTGGTAGAGAGAAAGGAGTTGGGTCACAAGTGAGATGTTTCTGACAGAGTTCCTCAAGTCCCATCCCCAAACCCCAAGCACCTCAGGGCTCCTCAAGCTACAGCAGCTTCCTCGCACCTACCAAGTTCTGACTCAGTCTCTGCGCCCGGAAGAAGAGGACCACGAAAGTCGTTGGCACCAGCTCCCAGAGGAAAAGGACCACTCCAAACACCACGTACTCCTCACTGCTCACTTCCACGTGCACCTGAGGATGGAAGTGAGAGGTCTCTGTTAAATCCTAACCATCAACAGAGCTACACAGCTCCCAGAGCTGGACACAGCACACAGCTTTGGAGAACTAGGACTGCAGAAGTCCCTAAACCAGAGGAGTGGCCCTTACCTGCCTGCTGCTGCTGGTTTTTAGGGAGATCATTCCCTTCAGTGTCCTACCAGGGTACTCCTAGCTCCCTCCCCACCCCCTTGCACACAGCCATGCCTTATTAAGCATTGCTTTTCTGCTCTAGTTGACTTGTCCCTTCTCTCCCCCCCAAAAAAAGAAGAGTTGGCAGGCTAAAAACTGAAGAACAAAACAGGGAATCCCTCCTAAAGTAGCCAAATTTCACTGAATTTCACTGAATTTTAGAGTTGGAAGGGACCATAGAGATCATCTCGTCCAACTCCCCTGCTGAAGCAGGATTGCCTAGAGCTTGTCAGAGCATGTTACTCAGGAGCATCCAGGCGGGGCTTGAAAATCTCCAAGGAAGGGGACTCCACACCCTCCCTGGGCAGCCTGTTCCAGGGCTCTGTCCCCCTCACCGTGAAGAAGTTTCTCCTCATATTTGAGTGGAACCTCTTATGTTCCAACTTGTGCCCGTTGCCCCTCGTCCTCTCACTGGGAACCACTGAAAAGAGTCTGGCTCCCTCCTCCTTCAACCCTCCCTTGAGGAAGATTTGGGCTTGCTCCGGTGGAGAGAGCAAGCAGGGCTTCTGAAGGCAGAAAGCCAGCTCATCTGGGGATGCAGAGAAACAGATACATCCCCCCAGACATCTTTTCCCTTACACATGCCCTCACAGAGTGGTGGAGTAACCACCTTTCACTCTACTGTCTCTGGACGGGCGTCCCGGGCACTTACCTTGTCTGAAAGGTTGTCCCAGCCACAGTTAAATGGCCCAGGAACATTGTCTGGAGATATGGCCACGGCTACCAGGTTATAGCAAGCCCTTGAGGAATACAGAAGAGCGACTACGGAGCCCACAAGAATCGCCTGGCAGACAGATGTTCCCTGGAGCAGGAAGAAAAAGTTTTAATACAGACCCTTCCTACAGAGCTGGAATTTCATCCCCCCTTCAATGCACCAGAAGCTGTGCAGGCCAGGATGACCTAGAACATTTGTATGTTGCTGCTGAAATATTCAGAGCCCATTAAGAGGTTTCTTGTGTGCTGAGTTCATTGCAGCAGCAGAGCTACACAGCCAGTGTCACCAGGGAAGACCCGAGGCACAGGATGTCACTGTCACACAGGATCTCATCAGTCAGCCTCACACTGGTGGTCCCAGAGAGATGCCATCCCACCCACTGCCTTGCTGTGGTAGCCTCCAAAAGAAAATCAACATGCTGCTTCTATATCCTGATCAGACTCTGGAGCAGAGATGCCCACCCAGCTCATCCACCCTGCAGCAGTTTGACACCCCCACATTGAACAAGTTTGTCCAAGTATTTGGGGTGGGCAACTCTGAGAATGAGTAGAAAGACCCAACACTGCTGTGGGACAAACCAAGTTTTGCTAGAAACAAAATAGTGTGTTAAAGGGTGGAGAGATGTTGCAGGACCTCTGCCTCCTGCTCTCTGTCCTGGGGTGGTGAAGAGCAGCTTCCTCCACAGTGTTTCAGATGCAGTGCTGTCAGAAGGACAACTACATGAGCTACCTCGAGGTCCTACCTTTCCTGGACAGCTAGTCATGGGAGAGAAAGCCACCTGAAGATCTGCAAATGTCTCCACTTCTTCACTAAATACAGCCCTGAAGCCTTTTAATAGCTACTGGTAGCCACCACAGCAGAAGCCAGTTAAGTGGGCAGGCAAACACATCTCAGCAGCTGACTTGCCCTTGGTATTTAGGGAGACAATGTGCTCAGGAAGCTCATCTCATTGACCTGCTCCACATCAGCTGGTTCACAGCTGGAGTTCAGGAGGCAGGCCAGCCTTTTCCAGGCATTTGTGTAACACTGCTGCCCATCCCCACCCTATTTTCGCAGCTCCTCTGCAACACAAAGGCAAGGAGATGCCTTCAAGGCAAGGAAGGGAGACAGCATTTGAATGCAAGAGACCTTCAGCAGACAGACAGGTTGTGTGTTCAACCCCAGACAGCAGGTTGTTCAAGAGCAAGGCCCCACAGGCAGCCTCGGGCATGTAACTAGAGGAAGCTGCTGCAGTCAAACCACTGCTGGGTGAACTCTGTAAGTTAATTAATGTCCAGACCCAGTCAGAGCTGGATACCTGGCCCATGCAAGCTTCAACCTTGACAGCCCAGCTCTGCCAACCCTCAAACTTGAATATAAGAAGTTCCACCTAAGCATGAGAAGGAACTACTTTCCTGTGAGGGTGGCAGAGCCCTGGAAGAGGCTGCCCAGGGAGGTGGTGGAGTCTCCTTCTCTGGAGACATTCAAACCCCACCTGGACACGTCTCGGTGCAACCTGCTCTGGGTGGACCTGCTTTGGCAGGGGGTTGGACTAGATGATCTCCAGAGGTCCCTTCCAACCCCACGTGATTCTGTGACTTTCAGTGGTCACATGGATGGCCTGCTAAGGAACAAGGAGACACCTCCAGGCAATGCAAGGCAGTTATCAGGATCCAGAACATCTTTGTAGCGGTGTCTGCTGCAAGGCTGCTTGTCACCTTCTTCTGAGGGGGGTACAGAGGCATCCAACAGCCTCCAAGAGCTCTACACTCTGGGTAAGGTCTCTGCAGGAGGCCAGAGCCTCACCTTCTGACACCTGGAGAGAGGTGATTCAGATCACACAAGGTGAGGAGCTGTACTACCAGGAAAAGTAAGTAGCTCTAAAGTAGCAGAGCCAGGGAGCCAGCTTCTCTGTGACTGTGCTCAGGTGCTCAAGCTTTCCTGTAGATGTTTCCAGGCCCACCAAGAGTCTGGATCTGGCCTTCTCACCAGGCCAGGTCCCCAACCCTCCTTTGATGGGAGTGATACAGCTTCCCAGAGGAAGAGGAGACAACTTAAGTGCACACTTAATTGCAGCCTCCTGCTACACTAATGTGAGACCACTGGTGGCTTATCTACCTCCCTACCTGCTGGAGAAGAGCCATGTATGTTCAGACTCTCACCTGTCCTTCTGACTTGGGGAAGGACCTACAGCAACTTCTCCTCCCCTTTTAAGATGCTCATCTCAGGTAAGCAGTGCCTCTGGCTCAAGCAAGCAGGCAGCTAAAGCTACAAAAGGATCCCCTTTGTAGGGAATTGTCATGTATCTGCACTTCACTGTCCTTAGTGACAACACACTGCAGGAACAGCATCTGCTGCTCCTTGGAGAACCCTCTCTTCCAGACAAACCTTAAATCACACCTCAAAACCTGAAAAGCATAAGCAGCTCCAAAGCTGCAGACAATGTATTGCCCTAAAAAGTGCAGGGCACTTCCACAGCAGGAGCATGCACTTGCTTGGAGGGAAGAGTCCAAGAGCTACCACCTCCACCCTGGAAGGAGTATTTGAGCAGCAGTAGCTCAGGTGCAACCAGGCCAGCTCCAAGTAAGCACTCACAGATCCAAGTTGAGAATCCAGCTGGTGATGGATGGTGCAGTTCACAAGGCATTTACCTACCTTAGACTCGAGGTAGACATTCGCTGAAGACATCTTTCCAAGTTTGCACATGCAGCAAGCCAGCGAGATGGCACAGAGGATGAAGAGGCTGTCGTTGACCAGGGCACGGGCAAGGACTGTCCACCTCAGCTGGTTCTCTGGGATCTCACCGTGGATTAACATTGCACAAGTTAAATTCACAACTAAGAAAAGGAGGCTGGTAAATATGGAGCCCAGGTACAACAGGACTCTGGAGAGGAAAAAAAAAAAGTGGAGTTGAAATCAGACAATTCTGGGGTTATTCTGCACCACCCTCCTGTCTCATCGGGCAAGAGAACCTCCCAACACTCCCAGTGCTCTGCTTGCTACGAAGATCAGACATTCCAGCAAGTTTCAGTGGTTGTATTGAGAGTGTTTGTTTGAGCTGCTCTCATAATGCATGAGCAGTGCAAGTAGTCATGAGTTACAAGACTCATCTTCTGACAGTCAGGTTCTTATCTTGCAGATTTTAAGTGTTGCTCTAGCTCTGCATTAACTTCAGTCAATAAGCTATGAGTCATCACAACCACTGCAACTTCTTTATTGAAAGCCACTGGAGCTTGCATTTTCCATCCTGGGTTTCCCTGGCAATGGCTAGGAAGCACCTGGGCTGCACAAACAGGTCCCACCTATTGCCCAAGCCTTATTTCACAGATGTTTTCTAGGGTGGGACAGCTCAGGATGACCTTGAGAGTTCATCTAGTTTGTTAGCAATACTGGGACACTGATGGAGACATGCAGCATGTTTTAGCTTCCTCGATACCTTCAAAGCTCCCAATCCCACCTCAAGGCACACAACTGATCCTTGGTCAAAGCAAAACTAGGTAAGGCATTAGAATTCTTCAGCCTTTGGGATCTGAAGTTCCCATTCCCAGCACAAGTTCACCCTGAGCCAGCTTTGAAGGCAACATCAGAAAAGTATCACTTACTTGTACTTGTTGAATTCAGCTGCACATTTCACTTTGAATATCACCTAGGGGGAAAAGATTTGCACAGCGTTACTTAACATGACCTACAGTTCTCCTTTAACTTTAGCAAAGACAACAGCAGAGCCAACAGCTAGTTGGACATCTTGAAGGACTCCACATTATCTGTGAGCACCACGTCTTGTTCTGGACCCACTTGCAAGAAAGACTGGTGTTCTTGTTTCCTCCGAGAGCCAAGCCCAAATGTAGGTGTCCAATAGCCATAGAATCATTTAGGCTGGAAAAGAGCTTTAGGATTGAGACCTAACACTGTCAAGTCCACCACTAAATCACATCCCTACAAAAACATTTAGTATTCCATGTGTGACAAGGACTTATTAATAACACCACACCTAAGGACTTCAAGAAAAGCAGGAATTTTAGCACTCAGTAGCCTCCAAGAACATTCAAAAATACATCTGCTTCACCCAGTGTTCTGTGCTGCATATTTTAGGACCTCAATCATGCTCAATTTCCCTGCTAGAGAAGGCCTCTTCAGCTGCCGTGCTTTAGCAAGACAAATAGCTGATCTAAAATAGCCCTCTGGAATGGGACTGTGGACCCGCAGGCTGTAACAGGCATCTGGAGCTCACAGCTCCTCCACCTCGAAGATGTTTTAAGGCCAAAACCACCTGAAAAGTAACTCTGAGGTGATAGAAAGCCCATTCCTACCAAGCTACATGGCATATTTGACAGACAAGCCTATTAGAGATCAGTCAGTCATTTAGAGACTGTTTCACTTGAAGCAACACACACTCTGTCCAAGAGTGAATCTGGGTTCTGCTGATACCTACAAAGGTAGGACTTCTAGCCTAAGGACATATGGACAGCTTAGAAGGTGTGGACACACTCCCAAGTCACAGTTTAGATGGGAGCACAGTAGTCCTGCTGCAAAGGGACAAGGAACTGGTGCTCCTACACAGTCAGGACAAGCATCAAGCTGGGAGAACTTCATGGAGCTCCCTTGTCACACACTGATTCAGCACAGCCATGGCAGAAACTGGGTTTTGTCCTGTGAAAAATGCAGATCCTGGTACAGACCCCAGAGCTGAGGTCACATTCAGTCTCAGATAAAGCTCATATCCTGACTAGAGACTTGGAAGGAACTTGGAAAAAGATGGAGAGCCACCTAGCCAGGTCTAGCAGACATGGACTTGTGGGGTGAACACAAGACCATCATCACCCAGGTGTGGAGGTTTGGTTTCACTGCTTTTGCAAGGAGTCCTCCTTGTCAGCTTCCAGACTGTGGCTGCAGAGAAGGATCACACATCCTGCCTCCCTCCTGGCATCCTTAGCCAGTTTTTTTTCCTATGGGACTTCTTGGCTCCCACCTTCCAGTCAGCGCTGAGGTCATGATGACACCCTGAAGCTTCAGAAATGAGGCTCCTGCTGACAGGATTTCCAGAGATACTTCAGGGTATGAAGGTCTGATCCAGCTCATCTGAGTTATAGGAAAAATGGGCCTGGAAGGACCATGTGGTGACTTCAAAGGAGAAAAAAAAAAATAAATTCCTTATCCCTGAAGGCTACATTCAAGCACTTTGAGAGTGTCAAAACAGCCATCAAGGACATCCAGCTGGGAAACCTCTTGGTTCAGCACCCATTTGCACATCATGGAAATCCATTTGATGTATTTGTGCTGCTGCTCTGACTCCCAGAAGAGCCCAGCAAGAGTCCCTGGCTTGTGTTCCAGCTGACCACCCTGGGTGAGACACTGCCACTGGTTAACAGAAAGAAGATGCTGGTTCCTGCAAGACACTCTCCCCAAACCCCAGGAACTAAGGCACACAAAGCTGTCCCGGGGTTAAGAGTGCAGTGGCAACCTGAGCCTCACGCTTGGACTGCTGCCACTGAAAGCAGAGGGAGACCACGGCACCAGCCTGACACTTTTCTTAGCCCCCAGCTATTTACTCCTGTAACTTCAGGAAAAGAACAGGCATCACTCAGTTTACAGTCATTTTCATTTTTTTTAAGATATGAGAACTCATCTGAGGGTTGCTTTTTTTTTTTTCTTCATAGTGGCTGGGTCAGTAGGTGACACCAGTAGTGTTCACTTTCAGGTTCTTGCCCTTGAGACAATCTTGCAAGCCTTCCAGCTCTGCTGCTTTTCAACGCCCAAGGACAGCTGATGTAGTGGGTTCTGCTGCAAAGAAACCAGTGCAGAGAGCTCAGAAGTAGTCCTATTCCTCATAAAAAAAATAATACAGACCCCTGCCACCTCAAACAGGTGGACAATGCCAAGTTGCTGTAGCAACCCTTCAAGCTGAGCAGTTTCTAGTCAGGAAGCCAGGCCCAGAAGTCATCAGTCGCCTGCTGAAAATAATGAACAGAGGTCTCTGCTAGCCCAGAGCAGCAGGGCTGAGAACATGCACTCCTCAACATGCCTTTTATAACAGTTAGGCAACACTCAGTTGTCTTTCTGGAGCCACAAGTCCTTTGAGCATTTCACATCAGCCACAGGCTTGGGAGAAAGGCGAGGCCGAGAAGAGTTACAGACCTCAAAGTCCCCTGTGATGGTGGAGGCTTTTGGTTTTGTGATGCCTGGGTATATTTCACAAAAGGGAATATTCCTTGCTCACATCACTGAGCCCAGAAAGCGAACTTGCTCGGGGTATGTTCTCAGAGTATTATTTAAGAAACACACTCAATCCTCAAAGGTGTACTGGAGGTGTCACAGCTGCTAAGAGAAGGTGATAAGCGACAGACAACCATATCCCACTGATGGCTCTAGGGACCACTTTCAACATCTGTACAAGCCTGGACGACAGCCCTACCAGAGCCTCAGAGAGCACTTCAACTTGGTTTAGGTACAGCCATTCACAACAGACCTGAAAGATCCAGCAACTTGTCATTGTCTGTCTGATGGAACCAAAGTCTCTTTTGCTCCATGAAGAAAATGAGGAGTTTGGGCTCTCCAGATGCAAGACGTAGCCATGTCCTGCCTCCACACAAACATCACCCTCACTCAGTGATGCAAGAGCATCCACAGATTCCTTCTCTCACCACCGTCATTCAGCACTGAGCATCGGAGCGGAGCAGGGACTATTTTGGGACTACACCCCATAACAAGTGTTCGAGCCCCCACCTGCCCCTCAGGAGAAACAGCTGGAACTATCTGTGAGGAGGACCTCTCACCATCCCCACTAATACCGAGGTCATCCTATGCCACCACGAACAGAGGGTGCAACTTGTGTGTACCCTGATTTCCTGGAATAGCTGGTTGCCAGCACAGCCACCTGTTCGCTCGGGAACCATGGGACCCATGGGAATTATCAGCTATGGGATGGAGCAGTTTTGGGTTTAAGTGACCCCTTACCAGCTGTCCCTCTGAGGCAGGGGACGCACGCTAGGTGTCTGCTAGACAAGGAAGGTGGAAAAGTGCAAGAACAAACAGAGGCTTTTCCAGTTTTCCATCTGAGAAGGCAGGAAGATGCGGTACAGCAAGGACAAACGGCTCCCGGGCTGGATGCTCTTCCCATCCATGTCTGCTCCAGAGCAATTAGAGCAGCAAGAGATGAAAAAAAAGGGCTGATGTCATCTAATCAGATGGAGCACTTAAAAGAAACCCAGACAGGTTAAGGGTTATGGTCACGCCAGTCTGGCAGAGCAGCCCATCGGAGCCTCACTGCTCCAGCAGAAGGCCTTACTCATTGTTGCCCACAGTCACTGACTCCCAAGTGAGTCCAGGGGGTGCCAGGTGCTCCAGAGGGTCTTTGAAAGGTCAAGACGGAGGTTGTTGTGGCTCCATTTCCACACACTGGTGCTCCCGGACAAAGACCTGAGGGAAAAGCAGGAATTGGCCGATTCTTGGGAAAGGCAGAGTTACTCAAGCAGATGTCTAGTTGGTGGCAGAAGAGCTATTCCAAAAGCAAAGCTGAGAAACACCCTGGGCTGGACATCTGAGCCACTGCTTCTGCCTGTGCACTGCCTGTGCAAGACTGGGAGGGGATCAGAGGAATTCCGACCTGATGTCCTCTGAACTCCAGATTTCCTGGAGAGGAACTCATTCCCTTACAAGCTGAAGCAGCAGAGATGCTTCCCAAGCAAAAGGGCATCACACCTTTTGATGTCCCAGGTGGAAATAAGGCAGTGACAAAAAGAAACTGTCACCACCAAATGAGCATCCCACACACGTTTTTGTCAGGCCTCCACATCCCCTCAGGAATCTCAGGAGACAGGAAGAGGATACCCTCTCCCCACAGAAAGGGGGAACACCAGGCAGTTTCACAAGTTTGAGTTTCAGCCCCAGAACAGCCTGGAGTGCAAAATAACGCTCGATCTCCACAGGTATTTGTTGTTTCCTAGAGCTCTTCCCCCCACCCAGCACCATTTCATCCTCAGCTTGTAAATAGCCCGAGGAGCTCCGTAAATCAAGCGAGATTAGCTCAAATAACATAGCACAGGCCACATTTTCATCCACTGCTTAGACAGATGCCATTTCTCCAGTGTCCCCACAAAGGAGGCACTGTGTACAAAGACAATTAGCCAGGCCTTCAGCACAGAAGCAGCCTATGCTTTTATCTGAGGACATCTCGGACCAGGATACTGCCCCCAGAGCAGCAGAAACTCAATGCCCTTCTACAGGCTCCTATCAACCAGCCCTTAAGAACTGGGAAGGGATGGAACCTCCACAGCAGGTTCTGCTTGAAGTCACACCAGTAAACATCCCCACCCCCTCTAGATCTTGAGCCACTTCTGCTAAAGTGCTGTGGTTCCACCATCGCTTCTCTCCTTCCTCCAGGTAGTGACAATTCTTGTTTAATTACACCCTCATCTCCCTTAACATAGTTCTTCCTGTGCTTTAAGAGAAGCACCGAACACAGCCAAGCCAGGAACATCTCAGTTAGCCACCAACACACGGCACCCTTCTGTCAAGGGAAGGATGCACTAGTTTTATCAGCCTGTTCCCCAGGCAGAGGAGGCCAAATATCACCAGTCAGCATCATTGCTTTTGTTAAAATGGAAGCCAGAAAAGCACCAAAGGCTTTCTGTTCACTACACTCTTTCTCCAAACCTCTGGAGCTGCAGGCTTTCCTACCTACTACCACCCACAAACACCACAGAGCACTGGACACCCATTCTGCCTGCAACAGCCAAGTGTCAGATCCTCTCTGTAATTACACATGCATATACTCATTTTAGTGTGTCATTTTATCCCTCCCCACTCCAGATTCTGAGCTCTTATTTCCTCAGACAGGATTTCCCTTGGCTCTAGGTCTTCAAGGAGAAAGAAATGGGGTATATTCAGCCAGAGTCCACTGAAAAACAGGTATCCTGGGAGGAAGGGAAGCCTGAGAACCTATTTGAATTTACTTTGCTGTTCTTTAAAGGAGCCTTTTAACACGGCTGCAAGGAGGCAAATCTGCTGTCAAGTCCAGCAACTTGGAAGAAAACAGAAATCCAGCCACTTTGCAGTCCCAGAAGACGGGGTCCTTTCCTCAGCTCGCCTTTCAGGGGGCACACAAACACCTCCCAGTTGGAGCAATGGGTAGGTCAGGCTGCCTTTAACAGACAAGATGGATTATGCACACTATGCACCATTTGTTATTTTGCTGCCACTCGATCGGCAGCATATCTAACACCGACAGCTTTTGCAACGGGGCAGCTCACCCCCAGCTTCCAGGTGTTTGCGTCGGAGGAGGGAAGAACCAAAAAAAAAAAACAGCTGAACAACCCAATTGCTCCAAGGCTCACATTATCATGTGAATGTTGATGTCCTCGGGAAAATGAAATCATAACTCCCATCGGTGACACATCGGAGCGATGGAGCGGTTTCGCTGTGTGTTAGCGATTCCTTTGTGAGGCTGGCGAACAGCTGAGAGCTGCAGAGCAAAGAATCTGAACAACAACAACATCAACGACGACGAAGCTGGAAGGAAAGTACTGCCTATTTATGAAAGAAGTCACCAAACTGGAAGGCAGGCAAGCAAAGGGCTGCTCAGGAGAAACTGGAGCAGAAACAAAAATATTCAGAGGAGGAAGGGGAGGGGGAGAGCCAAGGCTTTAAAAGATAAAGTGAAAGGACTAAAGAATGGAGGATTTAAAAAAAAAATAAAAATCACAAAACAAGTGATGGGAAACCCAGAAAAGGAGGAATACAGCTCAGTGACAATAACAAGCAGCTCTGCACCGTCCCAGCAGCGATCATTGTGCCGGGAAGGGGCCCACCTCTCCAGCCCCGGGCTGTTGTCTGGGGAGGGCAAAGGGATGCCAGGGTTCTGGGGTGTTTTTTTTTTCTGTGTGTGTGTCTGACAACAAGCTGCAGAACAACAAGCCCGGTTCAGAGCGGAGCGATGGAGAGAAGGAGGGAGCGCAGCAACAATAGCAGAAGAGGCTCTAGCTGGTGACGTAATGGTTGGCATCACTCCAGGCCAGAGCAGCCCCTGCTGCTGCCACTTTCTGGTCCCCTTTAGGGAAGGGGAATCAATTAAAAAAAAAGAAAACAAGAAAAAAAAAAGAAGAAAAAGATGCAAAACTGTCATCCGTCCCCCCCCCTGCTCTCCCCCACCAAGAGATACCTCCCTGCAAAGGGGAAAGCCCCTCTGGAAACAGGGCACATCTCTGCACACACACCCCCCACACCCCCCCTCCTTCAAGCACCCAAAATTCAGGGCATGTGCCTTGTTCCCCTCCCCCCAAAGCCACCCCCGGCATGGGGGGGGTTGCACACCCTGAACCCCACCACCCTGACACCAGGATCCAGGGCACACTTTCTCCTCACCCACCCTCCCCCCTATCCCTTCCCCACCCCCAAGCCTAGATTCAGGGTATAATCCTTGTGCTCACCCCACACACACCACATTCCCCCCCAAGCTTGGATTCAGGGCACTCCCCTACATCTCCCCAAGGCCTGCACTGTGGGGGGGAGACCCCTCAGCACCCCACACTCCCACTGTGGGGGGGAGACCCCTCAGCACCCCACACTCCCACCCTGGGGCCTCTCAGCACCCCCTTCTCCCCCCCAGCCTGGCCAGGGCACACCTCCACACACACACACACCCCTCCCCTCACCCCAAATTCACCTCAGCACACCCCAAAGTTCGAGGGGGGGGTGCCTGAAGAGGAAAGGGGGGCTGTTTACCGTGTCCCTACCCCCCCAAAGAGGAAAAAAAAAACCAAAAAAACCCCAACTTACCTCAGCAAAATAGAGGTTGAGGAGGCAGAGGCTGGAGAAGAGCAGGCAGCCGGGCAGGCAGTAGAGGAGCCAGTGGGCGAAGGGCTGCTGGAGGCGGAGGGCCTGCAGGGAGTTCTGCAGGTAGAAGGAGAAGAGGGTGGTCCTGAGGGCGGCCCAGAGGAGGCAGAGGAAGAGGCAGAGCGTGTGGTAGCTCAGCCGCCGCTCCCGGTAGTAGAGGAGCAGCCAGAGCTGCAGGTAGGCGAAGAGGAAGAGGGCGGCGTAAAGCGCCGTGTGGAGCACGGTCAGCCCCAGCTCCACCGCGTAGGGCACGGCGGGCCCCGCCGCCGCCAGGGCCGCCCCCTCAGCGAGGGCCGCCGCCGTCGAGCTCATGGGGCAGCGCCGGGGCGAAGGGAGGGGAGGTGGGGGGGGTAGGTGGCTGAAAGAAAGGAGGGGAGGCAACGGCCCGCCGAACGCCCGCCGCGCCCTCCCCTCCCCTCAGCCCCGGCTGGACACCCCCATATAACAAAGGGGAGAGACCCCCCTCCTCCTCCTCCACCGCCCGCCCTCCTGGCTGCGCCGCCCGCCCGCCCGCCGCCAAACAACTCTCTGCCGGGGACAATCAGCTGAGCCCGATTATTTGAGGCGCTCGCCTCTGACA